CAACGCGAGGCCCGAACTGAGCGCGGTGGCAGCACTGGGATGCTGCACGGGAGGGTCACGGAGTTCAAGCTGCGTAGTGAGACCCTGTATCAAAATAAATAAATCCAGTAAAAAAAAAAAAAAAAAAAAAAAAATCTGGCCTAAAAACACTTTGCCCACGTCTGCTGTGGCCCTGTAAGCTGAGCAGGACTGTGGGTCATTCTGGCACCTCCAGTATTTCACAATCTTTGTTTTTCTAGTAAACCTTAAAAGATTGAAAAATATATTACAAAAACAATGATCTCATTGGAATAATGGAAGTTGCAGCAAGGATTTCTGATTCACCACGAAGTTCTTCTTACTGACATTTAGATAATATTTCTCCCCACATGCAGGTACAGTGTAGAACTCTAGAACTGTGACCTCCAGCAAGCCCAGCGTGTTGTTACACTGTAACTTATACGACGCAGTTTACTTCTCTGGCACGCGTCCCGTCCCGCGCTGGGGCAGTCTGTATGGACACATGCACTGGAGAGGCTTCTGGTTTTGGATCCTTCTTTCTGAACAGGGCTTTAGAGCTCTGCTGCATGATTCCCAGGACTGGCAGGGCTGCCCGGGGCAGCAAGCTCCTACTCTGCATCTGTGATAGGCATGACCAAGGGATACCCCGTGCCAAGATGCCCACTGGCCTTTGAGGCCTTGTGGACAGCTGCAGAACTCACAGGCTGCCCATCGCCCAAAGGGAACAACCCCAGTGATGCCAAGCAGCAGCTGCATAGTCCCTCTGCCCTGGGCACACCCAGCTCCCACAGGCTGCGTGCTGGGGCCAGGTGTGCAGCTGGCAGAGCGAGGAGCTAGTGACCGTCCGCTGCCCAGCAGAGCTCCCTGCCCGGGGACTGGGACATCCAGGGCCAGCTCTGCCCACCTCCCGGTCCCTGCAGACCTCGGGGCCCAGAGAGCTTTCCTCGCCCCCTGCAGCTGGGATGGAGTCTGGACGCCTCTCCCTCTGAGCTCTGCCAAGGCTGCAGCCCTGGGATGCGGGTTGTTGGCAACAAAACGCCTGGGCCAGGAAATACCTGTCCTCCAAGCCTGGTACAAGGTTAAAGTGTCTGCAAGACCAGCGCAGATGAATAATGGGACTGAAACAGGTGCCCAAACACTCTCCGGCTGGGCACGTAGCTCCGTGGGAGGGCACACGCCAGGCTCGTGCGGGGCCAAGAAACTGCAGCTACATGATGGCCTACGGTTGGCATGGAGTCTTCAGGAAAGCCCGAGGTGGGGTTCTTAAATCATCTAATTGTTGTGCTGCTTTACGGTGAGGACAGAGGATCATGTGGGAGTGCTGGGCATCACAGAGAAGGTCAGGAGCAGTGTGGCAGAAGCAGAGGAGCGAGCCAGGCGCCCAGCCAAAGCCCCTCGCCTCCTGCATCTGTGTGCCCGGCCCACTGGCACACGCAGCGTGCACCTCTGCCTGCCCCCCATGCCTCCTGGGCGGGTAAACCCCAGCCATGCCAGGGAGAGCCGGGCTAAAGCTCTCAGATATCACCTCTTTGTTCTGCAGATGTGAAGTTTATGTCCTGAAATTCCAAGAAGGAAAATAATGGCATTTGATTTCACTGGCTCTTAAAATTGTGCTCAGTTCCAAGAGGTTGAATCTATAAACATTACTGGAAATGTGGGAATAGATGCCAGGAATTCCTCAACTCCTGTCTGCCCGGGCCAGGTTATGGCGGCTGCTCTGGCAGGTTATGGCTTGAGAAATATTGCTATTGGACGCGGGCTGGAAATTTTAAGCCCCTTGAAAATACGCATCCATGAGGGGAGTCTCGACTAGACAGACAGGCCGCACTGACGCGCTCTGCCCCTCCTGTGCCCCTCCTGTGGCGTGGCCACAAGCCCCAGCCCTGAGCGCCTGCCATATTTTTTTCTCATTTCCCCAATTTCTAGTTGGATTACTCTCCAGAGTACCTTGAAATTTCCTTAAGTTGTCCTTTCATGAACCGGCCATAGGTCAGAAAGGGCCACAGACGTTTCCAGTCTGGGTTTTAACGGTTCCAAAATGAACTGCAGGAGGGCGACACACCTTCTAGCCACAAGGGGCGCACTGCAGAGCCCAGCCTCTTGGACCAGGCGCTCCTGGGGAAGCCACCCAGCCTTCGCTCCCCAGCTCGATTGCTGGAGGACGGGAAGAGCTTTACCCCAGATCAGACCCGTCTGCGGCTGTGCTCAGGGACTGCAGCACCGTGACTGTGTGCCCCTCTCAGCATTCTCCTGAAGAACGACAATGACCAGGACGGCCCTGCTGCCAGGGAGAGGAATCCAGCCGGGAGGGAAACTGGCGAGGGCTTTGTGCCGTCCCCCACGTGAGGTGCTGATGACTCTCCTGCCCCAACCTGAAGTGCTAACTACATCGTGTGACTTGAGCCACATCACAGGATCCAAAAGCAATGATTTCTTCAGGTAAATATGTAAGAAAAGGATCCATCGAGGGGTGGGAGAGGAAAGAGAAGGCCGGGCTGTGGAATGCAAAGAAAGCCTGGAAAGCCTGGATGTCTTATTTTTCTACATTTGGAAGCTCAGGGTGAGCCTGGAAACTCGGATGTAGAAAAGAATCTTCATGCTTAGGGAGAGGTACAAATTCAGGCTGGCAGAATTCTGGCGCGTGCCAAAAGCTTCCCATGGGATTAATGCAGTCCGTGTTTTCGTGGCTCAGAGGAGCAGCTGTTGTATTTGGGAGACACGCATTCCCTGAGATGCCAGGAGCAAGGCCCCTGGCCACATTAGAAACCCTTCATTTCACCTGTGCTTTTGAAAGTAAACACTAAGAAGAACCTCAGCCCCTGGGCCCAGCTCCCACACCTTACAGAGTGTCTGCACAGCAGGCCGGAGTGGGTCGAGAGGAAGGGTGGCTGGGATTCTTAGAGCCGTCAGACTCGATGGCACACAAAACAGGCCTTGGGAAAACCAGGATACCTGCTACCTGGTTGGCATGGTGTTATTCTCTCCAGGTCTAAGGCAGTGCGACAGGACCCAGCCTACGGGCTGGAAGGCTGTGAAGAGTGCGACAGACTGACACAGAGGACCGCAGTCTGAAGGCTGGAAGGGAGCAGCCTCGCTTGCTGGAGACGCCACGCTCCTAACTTGCCTGCTCTTGGCCGACAGATGCTCCCGCTGGCTCCAGTGCAAGTCTGTGGCTGCAAAGCAGGCTGCTGAGATGGTTTTGCTTGCCAAAAGTGAAGCAAGCAGGAAGCCAGCAGACAGAGCTAAGAGCCGGGGTGCATCCTGTGGATTCTTTTCATCCCTTGCTGACTCTAGAACCATTCTGCCTATCGGAGGGGCAGCAGCCACCGGAAAAGCAGCCACAGATGGAAAAGTCCTGCCTCTGCCTGGTGGTGCCTTTCCGTGGGAGCCATGTGGTGGCATTCCCAGTTGGACGACAGCGGGCTTCCAAAGCAGCCCTGGGTCAGCAGAGCCTGAGGCAGTGGTGAAAACACAAATCTGTGCACACGTCCCAGGCCCACCGAGGCAGGCACTGCAAGAGGGCTGGCCAGCATGGGATGGGGGTGGCCCTAGACACACTGGAGCCCGAAATCCAGTGCTCAGGCAGAGCCCACTGGTGGTCACTGGAACTGAGGGTCAGCTCTTTACAGGGAGGTGGCGGGGTGGGGAGAGAGGATGCCGGGAGAGGGCACATCTGTTGCCCCCTTTAGAAACTTTCCCATGGCTCTCCAGACACGGGGAATGAGACACAGGTGGGGAGCTGAGAGTGTCGGTGGACGGGCTCACCACTCCATGCCTGGGAGCCACGCGGGAGGGCAGATTCCATGCTGCCACCATGCAGCTCCGCTGCAAGAAGACGGCTGCCCCCCGCCTCCCCCTGGCCGCAGAGCACAGTGGGGTCTCCTTCAGGCCAAGGCCACACCATGTGTTATTTCTCTCAGCGCCCTGCAGGCTCCATGGCCTCACATGAGGGAAGCTCAGACAGAGCAGGGGCAGGACCGCAGGATAGGGGAGGCCACGACAGCCTAAGTCTGGCTGGTGGGCCCATCTGCCACATGACAGTGACCCATAACACTCCTGCTCAGTGGCTTCTGAATTCACTGCTGGTCTCGAACTCATAGTGATCTTCCTTCCTCTGCCCCCTGAGCGCTGGAATCACAGGTGAATTCTAGGGATCCTCACCTCCTCAGGCTACAAATCTGGGGTTTCTCTTCCAACCTTTCATTTTCTAGCAGGCGGGAAGAATTCTCATAGGCAAGCCGTGGAGCTCCAGTGCCTTTCTACAACTGTGGGAACACACTCCAAGACGCCAGCAGCACGCAAGGCAGGGCCCCTGATGGCACCTCTCCGGGAGCCTGTGTATCGCCTGCTATCGCCTTGGCCGCCTGTGCAGCGAAGCCAGCCCGGCCTACCGCCTCAGCGCGTCAGACCCACGGGGTGACAGGTGCCCGAGCCCAGCGAGCTGGCTGCCTCTCCGGGTGGGATGCTTACCCTGCGGCGCCCTGGTCTGGGACTCTGAGGAAATCCAGGCTCTCTGGGGTCTGCGACACTCGGTCTGTGCCCGTGGACTGTTGCCGTGGCAATGGGGGGCGGGACATAGAGGTGTACAGGCTTTTATCATTGGACCGCTGGTTTCCCGGAGCCTGGGGGTGCAGCACGAACTGGTTCTTTAGGACACCGTTTTGATGGTACCCTGGGGAGAGGAAGGAGAAGAGTGTGGATTGTCCAACCCATACTGCCTCTACCTCCCAGCCAAGGACAGGGCAGAAAGCGGTAAGGTGAACGATGGCTGGGCGTGGTGGCACACACCTGTGATCCCAGCACCAGGAGGCTGAGGCAGGAGGATCGCTGTGAGTTCCAGGCCAGCCTGGGCTATAAAGTGAGCTCAAGGCCAGTGGGAACTACATAGCGAGACCCGGTCTCAAAGATCAAAGGAAAAAAAAAGAGGTGAACAAAGGGGTGGCGCTGAGCACACACGCCGCGCACTGACTGCAGCCGTGAGCGCCTGCCTCACCACCATGCTCACCCCGCCCTGTGCTGGGGGAGCGTGCGGGCACCTCTCCCACCCCTGGCCGCACGAGGCCTGTAGCTCCTCTCCCGGAGCTACACACTGCAAGAGCCCCTGCCCACACACAGGAAAGCCTCGTGCAGAAGGCCTCCTTTGGAGGGTTTGGGTTCTCCAGCCTCTGCTTCTGCCCGTCACCTTGTTCCTGAGCAGGCATCTATCTTGGGATGTCAGCATCTTCACTAAAGACCTCGGACGCTGGCCTAGACCCTGGGTAGCCTCCAGCTCGGACATGTCTGTTGTCTGTTGCTCCCTCCGCTCTGTTTCTCTGTCTCTCTCTATTCCTCTCTCCCTCCCTTTCTTGCCCTCTTGTCCTCTTGCCCCTGCCAGGCATCAGGGGCCTTAGTCGAGAAAACATCTCTTGGCTGGGTCCACCGGTGCCCAACCCCAGCACCTGGGAGGCTGAGGCAGGAGGACAGCAAGCTCAGGTCTGGCCCAGACAACTGAGCCCGTGTTCCAAGAGAAATTTTAAAAGGGCTGGAGATGTAACTCAGTGCAGAGGCCCTGGGTGCCATCCCTGGAGCCACACACACAAGAGCTTTTGTTAGCTTTCTAATTCTCCTGCATCTTGTTTCTGGGAACAATCCTGGATCCCATCTAAGAAACGATCTTTTCCTCATTCATTAAGCTGTTCACAAACTGCAGACATCACAGTGGTACCTGGCTGGAGCTGGCACTGTGGCAGGTGAACCTGACAAGCCCCTGTTGCCACAACGGCAGCCTCCCACACCTGGAAGCTGACAGTATCTTGGTTCCAGTGTGCACTCCTTTTGCCTCTGCCACTTCACATGAAGTGGGCCAGGCAGTGACAGCCACATGGTCTCCTCTGCTCAGTTCAGGCCCACTCAACTCTCCTTTCCTGGAATCTGGGTCACAAGCAGGCCCACTGGGTTGGTAGGGCAGCCTGTGGCTGGTTAGGACATGTGTGAAGCTTTGCTGATGGGTTTCTCTCTCTT